ACAGGGAGTCCTGGACAGCTGCGCACACTGCTCCTGTTTTTCTTCGTGAAGTGGGATGAAGTCAGAACACCCAGCAAGCACCAACATGAAACACGGGAGAACACGCAAACTCCACACAGAAGAACCCCCTCCCTCTGGAACAGACAGGGGCCCAGCCAGGACACCGGGGCTGGAGGGCAGCAGAGCTGATCTGCCCCGTTGCTGGGCTGCCTGCTCTGAACTCCCTGCTCCCAATCCCTGGCCCACTCCTGACAGCAGAAGAGACACTCACTGTAAGGGCACAGCAGTGTCTTCGCCGAGAACGCCACGTCTGTACGCCACACCTGGGGGACACAGGAAGGGACAGTCAGGGGCAGGAGGGGCTATTCTTTCTATCTTTCTACCCTTTTATTTCTCTTGTGGACGCAGACACCTGAAGAAGTACTGAACTGGGAGAGAGGAACAGAGGGCAGAGAGCCAGTAGGGGGCGCTCTTGCCTCCGGACACAGATTTCCAGACCAATGTCCCAGGAGTTAGTAACAGTTTAAGGGTGGTATATTATGTTGATGATGAAGTCTACAGTACCCATCCGTAACTGATACAGTCCTGATCTTCATGGGATTTTGCCTTTGAAAGCGGGAGGTACTGTATATTACAAAAATGATGATTGAAGAGGGATGTCCTGTAGTAGCGTACATTACCACTGTAAGTCAGTATTTAATGATCAGTTTATTGAGCTCCAATCTAAATAATACTAAGGGCTGGTTTCGTCATATGGCAAAGCCCTCTGGGTTAAACATGAAAAATAGAGACCAGCACCACCTAACCAGCCCTTAACCACCAGTGTTTGTGGTTCAGTCCTGTTTACCCAGCTGTTCAAGAGGACTATAAAACAGACAGATAAGATTTAGGAGGGTCACACACAGCTCACTGAAGACTCTGCTGCGGTGACTTTGCTCTGGTCTTTGAGCATTCTGAGCACTGGAACCTGCTCCCCTCCAAGTCGTCTCAGTTCTCTCAGTAGCCTGTCGGTGGGGGACAGTCCCTGAAGGTCTGGGATGTACTGTATCTGGCTGCTCTTCTCTGGACAGTCTGCGCTGTTGAGCAGCAGCATCTCCGATTTATCCTGAAGACCAGAGCTGTACACACAGCACGAAGTCCTGTCCCCCAACATTCACATCCCCCCCCAAAAACAAAACCACAGAAACGTCCCCTCACATCCCCAGAACAGCCCATCTGAAGACAGGGGAGACATACCTGCACGCAAAGCCAGGGGCCCGGAGAGCTCAGAGTCATGCGCAGCTCCGTGGCGTTCGAACTCGAGTCCTGCAGGACAGAGCGCAGCGTTAACCCCCGAAGGAGCAGACCTCAGCAGCACCTTTCGCAACGCTGCATGCTTATGCAGTCTCCTCCCACGTCCTCCTCAGCTGGAGACCAGGGAGACCGGGCTCCCTTGACCCCCTGCACAGCCTCAGCGATCGCCCCCGTCTGCAGCTCCTGGCCCCCGCTCTCTCACCAGCGAAGCGCTGTGCACGGGCGCCACAGGGACGCAGCGCCCCTCCTCGCGGCGGCACAGCCCGGCACTGAAGGATGCTGGGACGCCAGAGGTGATGCGCAGGTGCTGGAACGAGCCGGCAGGCGTGACCTCCGCTGTCCAGTCCGTGTCTCCTGGAGCACAGGGGAGAGACATTCAGCCACAGGCTGCAGAGAGGCCAGGCCATCGCCCCGAGCTGTCGTGAGAATTACTGCCCAGGCTCCTTCAGGGCCTGGCAGACAACAGTTACACTCCATCTATAAATAACTGGGTTCCATGGGTAAGGGAATCAGAACGTCTTGACCCACCTGGGCCAAAGGGACACTCTACGTGGTAGCTGTCTTTGTAGGATAACTGCAGGGAGAAGGAAACAAGCAGGTCTGTCACAACTCAAAACAAGCACTGAAACACACACAAGCACACTCATGCACAGCAACACATACTTACACACACTCCCTGAGCCTCACACACACACTCATCAGTTCAGTTCAGTTTATTGTCATGTGCACAGGTGCCATGATGTGCTTGTTTGCATGTCTGCTCCCATACAGAGACATTAAGGAAACACCAACAACATAAACACAGAACAGCGGCAGCAACAACAACAACAAGTTAAATAACATACATCTTAGAAAAAAGATGCTATCCATCCACTCATCCACACACACACGATCACACATTTCCACTGACTGCTACCAACTCCCACAGACTCTCACTTACTGTTGCCCACTCTGCCCATGAGTAGCTCCACACAGTTAAGTCCTATTAACAAGTCTGTGCACTTTTAAATATGAAAGAAAACTCTGTTTGGCCACAGAACAAGTCCTTCCCACCCTGAGCGAGGGGCCCCCGTCCCCGATGTACGATACTCACCTGGACACACAGCTGTGGGTGTCTGTCCACTCCGGAGATTGTGTACACCTGAGGGAGGGAGGAGGGGGGTCACAGTCTTTCTAGAACCATCTCAGACACCAGCCGCTCACTGGGGTCCAGTTTGGGATTGTTAACCAGTCTGTTTCCCCATTCAATGATTTTAGTAAAATACATGAGTTCACAGCCTCCTTCTTGCTCTACGATTTGGTATTGAGACTATAATTCCCCTCAGCAGTTACAGTAATCTTGCTTGATCTATAATTAATACGCATTCTTAGACTGTCTGTTGTAGATTCATTATTGTTATTCTCTGTAGTGCTATCAATATTAGTAACAGTACTGCTGTAGTAGTGTTACTCACAGAGCCTTCCCTCTTCAGTGTGGAGTTGACTATCACTCTGCATGCACTGGGTGCAGTTTCACTGTCTCTCCAGCAGAGGGAGGCAGAGCTGTCTGGTAGAGGGCAGGGAGAGTCCCACCTCAGGGTCAGCGTGCTGCCTGACCTCTGTCCCAGGAAGTGAATAGTGCTGGATCGCCACAAATCATCAGCCCGTGCTGGAATAAACCAGAGCTGAAGTTAACAGTCAGTACTGAAACTGAAAAACTGTTCAGTTCAAGTGACAAATTCAGGGAGATAAATTGTTAAAGCTGCAGGAATACAGGATGCCTGCATAGGGGAACATAATCCTATGGACAATACTGGTCCAGATGAGTATCAGTTCCTCCAGACAGGGGTTTACAAGCAGCAGTTCTGGACTCACTCAGAGCACATGGTCTGAGTACTGAGATTGTCAGAAGGATCGATTAAGTTCCCCATAAATGATCAATTCTCAAACTGCTGTAGAGAGTAGGAGTACCACAGGGATGTGTACTAGGACCACTGCTCTAATTAGTATATATATGGAATCTCAATCCTGGTGTTGTTAGTAAACTAGACAGGTTCGCAGATGATCTCAAATGAAACTGAAAAAGGTTTAGATACAATTCAGGACTGGACTGAACAAACACCTGGCAGATGATGTTTAATGGAGACAAGTGCAGGGTTTTGCATGCAGGCAGTAAAAACATAGACTGTAAATACAAATGGGGAAACTGAGACAGAA